GTAACATGTGACCACCTGGGAGTCAGTGGGCAACACCCCCCCTTACCCCCACCCTACTAAGCCCCACTCATCTGACCCCCACCTTATTGTGACCTCCAACACTACAAATTATACAAATATATCATTAGTTTGTTAATTAGTATAATTATAATGACAATAATAATGTCATTTTTATAATTATTGTAAATAATGTGGTTATTATTTGTTATGGTTCTTGTAGTTACTTTCATTGTTCAATATTACTGTTATAATGCTTTGTCAATACTGTCCTTAACACAGTCATGCTATCAAATATGATTATTACCCAAGTATTGTTCAGCAACAGGTTAACAGTGACAAAAGTATCGAACTCTTTCAAATCTTATATTAATGAGTGTCATTTTGTCATTACAATTTAAAAGTAATCGTGTAATGAATTACATCTGCATTTGATTTACATTCTGTATGGAGAGATTTGAGCCTCCACTTCTGACTTATTTCTGTGTTTCAATGTCAAGAAATAACAAAAATGTGGCTAAAATGTAAAAGATGTTTTTTCTTTCTGCAAACAAGCACAACTTTTCATCTAATTTAAATCATAATAAAATATCTCCTATACTACTTATGAACACAGATGTAGTATAGATTGAAAGTTTATAATCTTTCAACACAAGTTCTCTGCTTTTTTCAGTGAGCTACAGAAATCATTCATCTAAAATTACAGCCTGCTTTTGTTATCATGACAGTAAGCAGTGGGTTAGAAACAGCAGGATATCTGCATACGTATAACAGAAGCTAGCAGTGCAGTGACGCATTTGGACCGTTACTCTCATTCTGCTTATTAATTGCAATTATCAGAGATTGTTGGTTTCGACAGAAAGTTACGACGTGACAAAGCCTGTGATTTATCACATCGCTCAAAGCACACTCAAGCAGAGCAGCTGTTCAGCTGGCATCGTTTTGCTGTTTTGCTGCCACCATTACTCAGATTGACAGTTAAAAGCATTTATTTTGTGCTGGCACAGAGGACATATATATTTCCGTCAGACCATTGTTTTAATATTTGTCTTTTAAAGGCTCATATCATGGAAAAACATTGTAACACTGATTGAAAAACATTGATTGTAAACATCATGGAAGTTTTAATGCCATTCACTTCCAAACCCACAAAGTCTATTAAGCTTTATTGTTTTTGTGATGTCACATTTAGATATATCTGCCTATTCAGTTTAGTTTAGCTCTGCCCATTCATGGTGAAGTTATAAGGAGTGTTTTATCCTGGACTGCTTTTAGAATGAGATGCAATACAGGACAGGCAATCAAACCAAGCTCATTTACATAGGTCAGTCTTAAAGGCACAGTAACAAGACATCAAGAGACAAAGAGGTTGGAAAATGGGTTACGTAAAAATGGATTACCACTGTTTTTGCTACATAAACATGTATGAACATTAGACATGGAGCTCAGGGAGAAAAAGTTAATACAAATTTGACTATCAGGTGCCCTTTAAAATTCCTTATTTGCTGTTCATAACTTCTCCTTCATGTCTTCTGCCACTTGCTGTTACAAAAACATTACCAACCAAAATAGCCTGACCTTTATTGATATTCATGTATTTCCTGGACACAATTAGAGACTCACACACACACGCGCACACACACACACCTAAACCTCTTTCGTCCATCTGTGCTGGATGTTTTGATTCTACAATGTCAACTAAAACACACAGGGATTTATTCTAGAAGTTTATAATTCTCTTTTAAAAAATAAAAGATTGAAGCTCATTTATTAGGGCAGACTGCTGTGTCTGTCAAGGGAGCAACCACAAGCTTCAGAACTAACTATCAAACAGAAAAACATGAATAAAGTGTTTGATTAGAATGTTATCTCAGTATGTACAATCAGAGAAAACAGTGTTTGTAGCTCGGCTGCTCGCTGTTATCATTAAACTGAAGCTTGTGAACGTTTTGCAGCTGCTGACAGTGACGCTGTTGAATGTAATCCCTCAGCAGTGTGTACAGAGGAGATACTAAAGCTGGCACAAAGAGCCTCAGAGCGTTTCCTCACTGACCTTAAGCCACTTTAAGTTTGATTTCTCTCTCATTTCTGCCTCTGCTGACTCTGAACTGAGTCTGAAACCAGTGAGATTTTAGGCAGTAGTGCTTACTGCTTTAGAACATCGTAGGTGTTCTTTAGTACATGGATGTGCGTGCACTTCTCATGCAGTTGAACAGGTTCCAGTAGAATGTGCTTTTGGTAATCTTCTCGCATTCCCATACCAACATCATCTGTGAATTTGACAGCAGACTTTTTCCTCTTTGATTTTTCATTTTTTCACCATACGATTATAGGGTTGTATGTCACAGAGTTCACTGTTATAGAATTTGAATAAATAAAGGTTTATAAATGCCTTATTCCAATCTTCATCATATGTCATAAAGGCTACTTTAGCTAATTTTGATCAAAAGTTTGATAGCTATTGGAATAAGTATTTACAAACATTCATGTAGGGTTATGTCAGTTGTCATAACAATCTTATGTAGGTGTTATGTAACCTTATGAACAGTACCCTACAGTAAAGTGTTAACGAATTTGTTATATTATTTGAATCATTTTCTTGGTGTCTGTAATGTTAGCCCTGTTTTGAAGCATGTAAACAGCTCACAGTGAGAGCTGGCCAGGCTAAAGTACAGCCTCCACATGACAGGATTAGTTTTAATGCAGTGTTACCACTGCTGCATTGACTGAAACTCAGAATTTCACAACTCTAGCTAGGAAATATGAAACAAACCACCCTATGGCATGTGCCCACCCCCCGGGCCCCGACGATGACGGCCGCGCGAGCCAGCAGGAAGGCAGGGCCCGAACACCCAGTGGCGACGAACCTCGGCGAGGACGACAGTGAGAGAGCCGCGAGTGGGGAGGGGGCGGAGCGCAAAGCCCAAGCTCCGCCGAGGGATGCGAGTCATGCGAGTGACAGCGGGAGGACGAGGACGATGGTGCCGGCCGCGAGAGGCACCAGGGCAAGGAGCGAGTCCCCGCCCCCTGTTCTGCAGCAAGGCCGCTTCACTGCACCTCACGTTCCACCCGGGCGGCCAAGCTGCAAGCTGGGGGCAGTGACAGGGAGGCGGATCAGCGAGCTCTTGTTCCCTCTCAGCTCGAGTACATACTGATCTGACTGGCAGCGTGAGCGCCTTTTAAAAAGAGCTGAGAGGGAACAGAGCGAGAGAGAGGGACGAGCAGCAGCCACAAGAGCGACTGAGTGAAGAGCTGAAAAGCTTGAGTAAAAAGACTGAAAAGTCTAGCTAGCTTAAGCCACTGAAAAGTGGCCAGCTTAGCGTAGCGTTGGTTGTGTTTATTTACTTTCTGTTTATTTGGGTGAATTAAAGTAATGACTGCTGCAGCACTGAACCCTGCCTCCAGCGTCTTCCTTGAGCCCTGGGTAGCAAATGCCGTGTTACACACCCCCTTAGCTGGAAATTCCTACTGGGATAAAGAATGGCGTTTCCAAATCCGAGATCAGCATATGATGTCGTATCCAAATGGCTGTTCACACTGTCAATAGTAACAACAAATCACTTCTCAGCTTTTAAATGAGAATTGCTTTGGATAGTCTACATACAGACATGGTAGTTGTTTGAATCTATAACTTTAACCATAAAGCTTTGAGAAGCTAAATACATCATGGATGTTAAAGTCATCACTCATATCACTAATGTTAGTTGGCTAGCTTGTTGCTAACAATACTCACTTTCATGGAGGCGTCCATGTTAGAATGCGCAGAGGTTGAAAATGACCCAGTTCCGAGCTCCAACTTTCCACTTCCGAAGAGCTTGCGTGTGTTCTGTAAGCTCCTACTGTCTGTGCTGTTTTCTGAATAGTGACCAGTAAAGGAGATGTGATGTGCTTTGCTTTTTCAGTGAATGTGACCGAGTAATGGTCATTTTGAGTGAAATGCTCGTAGCTAGAGTGACTGAGATGCTGTTTGAGGTGCTGGATCAGACATCAAAGTGGGAAAAGTGCTGCTGTTGCCAGCATCCTCACAGGCTAATGAGAGAAACACTGGATGTCCTTCAAACAGCCCAGCAGCTCCAGATGACTCAGTCTGGAGGACGACACGGTCAATGAGATAACTATTTTTTAAATTGAACTGTTGATAAGAGATTTTTCATTCCCAGTGCTCCTTTGAGGGGCCATAGCTGTTGTGAATGATGGAAAATACCACCAATAAAATTCTCAACACTTTCCTAGAAACAACCTCTTCAGCAAACAAAATTATTCTCCAGCAAACACCAGCATTCTTTACTAGAAACCACAGTTTGTATAATTCTCTACCAAACACCATCTTCTTCTACTATCCACCACCATTCTCAATCAAACACTGTAGTTCTCTGCCAAACACCTGCAGACACAATCATTCTCCATCAAGCATCAATGTTCTCTCTCCATCAAGCATCAACGTTCTCCAAACACCAACATTCTCTACCAAACACTATCATTTTCCACCAAACACCAGCATTGTACATCAAGTGCCATCATTTGCCACCAAACACCAAAACTCTCCATGAAACCAACATTTTACCAAACACAACCATTTTTCAATAAACGCCCATTCTGCACCAAACATCTTCATGCCCCACCAGCCATTCTCCACCAAACACCAACATCTTCCATAAAGCACCATGATGTGCTACCAAACCAAAATTGTCCATGAAACAAATCTTTTACCAAACACAAACATCTTACAATATACACCACCAATCTCCACCAAACACCAGCATGCTTTGGCAAACAGTAACATTCTCTCCCACACACTGTCATTCTCCTACAGCCTTATAGCACTGAGGAACCAGATGAATCTGTGTGAATGGGGGAGAACGTTTTATAGACTCTCAACAACTGCTTACTGGTGTGGTACACTGACCTAATATTCAGGTTTGATGATGTTTGTTGATGTGACCTGAATTTAAGATTTATGTACATTGTCTCTGACTAACTCTCTCTCTTACTTTTTCCATCAGGTCTACCAGTATATGCACGAGACAATAACAGTAAATGGCTGTCCAGAGTACCAAGCTCGCGCCACAGCAAAGGTAAGAATTCCCTTTTCACAAAAGCCCTATTGGACCTGGCTTAGTTTTACCTCTGTTTTTCCTGTAATTTAAGTGATTAGTGCCAACATCTGTGATTTTAATCCAGTATGAATCTGCAGTGTGTTTAATTTTTACAGTCTGGCTGTAATAAAGGTGGAGTGATTTTAATCCAGTATGAATCTGTAGTGTGTGTAATTGGTACAGTCTGACAGTAGTAATTGTGGAGTGAGTGGTCTAATTGTGGAGTGAGTGGGCTAATTTTGGAATTCCTGCAGTAATAGTAGTTCTGTTCCAATCCACCTCACATTAATGGAATGGCAAAACCTGCTAATAGACACAGCTGTGTCGTCATTGTTTATTGAGTGTGTCTTGTGGCTTACTGATTTCATGCTATCTGTGGGAACTGGGGGGAAATTACGCATAGAACTGGCATTGGCAGCAACTTAAGGATACAACATTTACCACAACACAATGACGCAACATAGTAGATGTACAAAAGTTTGTTAGCGTAATGTACCATAGTAATGAACAAATACATAATGTTGGGAGAACTTTACTGACTACAATAATGAAATAATAAATTATAAATAAATGAATAAATAACATAGGAGAAAATGCTGATCATGCTAATGCTTACCTGAAACATTTGTTTACAAAAAACCTACAATAATAATAAATAAAACACAAATATTAGGTTTTGAGATGAGAAAAACTTATTTAAGGTACATAATTAGACCCTAAATCACTGTCGTACCTTTGAGGGTACATTTACATTGTTTCTACCTTGATGAATGAAATGTACCTGCATTTCAAACAGTGTATAGATGTGATTCACTCTGGAGTGTACTCTGGTTTGCATGTGTGAGAGTCTGTGGCTGTGAAATTAAAAAACAGATGTGCCCTAGATTACATACAGCACTAACAGCAATAACATCATCTGTTTAGCATTTAACAGTGCTACAACACGAAGCAGCTCTGCAAGCACGTAACCAAAATTCTAGCACTAATGACAGCCAGGTACAGACTAATACCTCACTACAAATTCTGAAAAATCTGTGAAAGTGCATGACTAACAAGCAGCATCCACTCCTTTACAACAGGTAATAGAGGATTTTGAACACAGCCATAATTGCACAGAGACTTTAAAGCAGCAGTAAATGATTTTCTTCTTTGTCTTGTGAAGCAACCAAAATGGCGTATTTTTGGAACTCTATACTGACACCTGTCGGTGTGGGCGATACAAAGCCCCCGATACTGCCCCCAGTATTGTGGAGAGGCAATCGCCCTCATGCTGTGTAGTCAATAACTGACATGGTTGTTGTCATAGTTATCAGTCCAAGTAACACACTACACACACATTTGTAGCATTACAGAATGTTTGTTTAAAATCGAGGTATTTCCGTCTTCAAATGTCAATCTTTCCATATTTTTGCTATCACTCGGGGTGGTCTTTGCACTAGGCAAAGGTAGACAGCTGTCTAGGGCCCCCATTAAGCAAGGGCCCCATGAAAATAAATATAAGGTACATGTTGATGTTAGATAACCTATTCTGAAAAATGCATTGTTGACACAACAGAGTGAAGACAGACTGGTATGGAAAAAGAAATATAGCGATAATCTACATTCTGGAGAGACAGGTTTTAGATGTGATATTTTAGGGTGTTGAGAGGTAAAATCAAATAAAGTCATCCAAGAGCAGCAGAGAAACACAAAAAGAAGGACGAAAGCAAAACATTTGTCATTACGCTCCCAAAGTTAAATGAAATTTTTCAGCCAGAACAGAGAGCTGCACAGGCTCAGCACATAGTGTTAGCATTACCATTCATACAGCTCCAGTGTTGGGGTAGTTAAAAAAAGAAGTAGCTATTAACTACTTCTATCAAAATGTAATGATTATATATTTAGTATGTAATCTCAGTTACTACATGTTCTGAGAAATTCTTGTTGGCAGTATAGATGGTTTCGGGTTTCGGGGCCCAGAGTCTTTATATATATTAACAAATGTGCATCCATGGGGCCCTGTTCCTTTCATTTGCCTAGAACCCTGGTATCACTGAATCCATCCCTGCTATCACTTGCAGTTGAAGCTGGAGTTACCGAGAAAGTGTCACACTGACAGCAAACGCAGCTTAGCCAATTATTTACTCTTTCTGATGAGGACCAAGCATGATTACATCAATACTATGGGCTGCAGAATAATAACTAGTGTACCGTCAATATGTGGTAAGAATGCTATTAGCATATATGGGAGTGACTACCATAGGCTGAGCAGCTTTAACCAGTGAGCACACAATTTTTTTTTCTACAGCAAGCTTGTCCCCCATTGTGACCTGATCTAAACAGTGCACAGCCCATGTGTGGACTCATGCCCCGTTATGATAAAATGGTACATACAAGCCGACGAAGTAATTTGAGTGTCTGTCTTAGGTGATTCTGCATTATGAAAAAAACAATGACAAAACACTTTTACACATACTGTTTTGTGTTTTCTTGCCCATAAACATTGCTTATTGCTCTGTTAATTTCATGATTAATTCTAAAACGACCAATCAAGTCCCACACATTAAATATAGAACCTCTTCTGGGAGAACTAATCCATCTCCAGTAGGGCTAAAGTCCTGTCTGCATTTATAGATTGTGTATAATTTGTCTGTTGTGGACGCTGGGCGTAGTCTCTGTTCCTCCGTCTTCCACTCTTTTTACATGAGTTCATATTTTATATTCAAGAGAAACAGAACTATATTAGACTTTCAAATGTGCTTTTTTCCCCCCACCTGAATCCGTCAAGAGTGCGAACAGATTTAACAAACAGTTTCAGCAGTAATTAGCCCGCCCTACACACAAACACTTAGCGTTGCCTCCAGACAGTCTTTCAATTTACTGACGTTCATTCAAATTCAACTGCTGTAGGGAAGAGTATGCAGTTGTGGCAGAGACAAAAAAGAGAGTGAAAGAGAAGGGAGGGAAACAAAAGAAAGAATGCTATGTAGCTATGACAGTGAAGGACAAGCAGGTTGACTAGAGCCAGCACTCCTGATATGAGGGTGAATCTTTGGAAAAGAGAATTTCACCCCAGCGCACCTTTCTGCACTGTTGCCAATCCATCAGAAAGAGTGAAACCGTGCCAAAAGGTGCATCGTGCCAGATATACACTGCCTGTCCACAGACCGGGGCCATCTTGCCTTCTTTAAAAGCTGATTTTCATTATTTAAACTTCAGTTAAGTAAGAGAAAGGTTGAGCGATCATAAAGCAGCTCATCATGTTCATCAATCAGGAATTCTGAGAAAATTCTAACGTTTGTACATAAGTCAGTGGTTGCAATGTGAAAGTCATTCAGAGTGGTTTGGTGTGAAATGGTTCATTGTAGAAAAACTTAGACTCAGATTTCATTGCAGTGGTGGTGATGCACAGTCTACAACACAAATATAGCCAATTTATTTACTGTCCAAAACTACCAGTGAAGCTAAGTGTGTCTTTAAAATTTTTTATATGTAGTGTTGATAAAGGTAAAATAGAGCTAAATCTGAAAAATTAGGTTTTCTGGTTACTGTTTGGTTTTACAACATCCTGTATGTCGTTCTGCACCATGAATGGATGCTAAAAGTATGTTTTAGACCAAACACTTCTTAAAAAAATCATAAAACAATGTCGCAGGCATCACGCAGTGTATTAAAAAATTTCATGTAAAAACTTGAGGGGTATTTTAGAGGCATTAAAGTCTTCAGATGTCTCTTTAGACAACCACTGTGAATAATTCTGACTTGTTAGGATACTCTAGAACAGTGCATTCCACATCAAACCACTTTGATGGAATGACTTGGTTCAAATCTTGATGAAATTTTAAAAAATTGGTGGAACGGTGATGAGTGCCGACATCACAAAAGGGGCTAAAATGCATGGCATTATTTCCAAAGCAGCACTATTACTATTATTAGAGACTTTTAGGAAGACGGGCAGCAGGAGCAGCTTAACCGACCGGAAGAAACGCTGCGCTGTGCTGTTCTGTACAGGAATTTGACTCTCCCTGCTTCCTGATGCAGCGGCCTTTTTAGATGTGAGGGGGTGGGGCTAGGATAACATTTTGGTGGGTCAAATTAAATGTCCTCACAAGCCCACTTTGACCACCTTTTGGACAGCCCTGCTCTAAATAAACCTGATCATGCTTTGATATGGTAAGTTATTCCAAACTAACAAAGAAAATCAACATTGATATTAACAGCATTCTGAAAAAGCTAGATGTCCTCAAACTTTTGATGGGCCGTTTAAGGTGATGCTGTTGCCCAGGGAGCCCAGTCTTTTACACACAAAAACACGTACACACACACACACACACGTATATATACACACACACACACACACACACACACACACCCACACTCATCGACCGGTAGGGCTTTCAATCAGCCACAGCACCCACCATGCAGATGGAGAAGATGAATAGAGTGAAAGAGAAACGCCACAAAGCAGTACCGGCTCAAACAAAGCATTCAGAACAGAGATCTGATACCTTTACAGAGAGATGAAAAGAAAAGGTCTATGGGGTTTTGTACTGATTATGTTTTTGAACTCAATTAGACCAGAGCACTGTGTAATAGTCAATTAACAATGAAGAGACAAGGGAAAACAGGAGATAGTAATAGTCACAGGCCATTCTGTACATGTCCACTGAATTAAAAGTGAAAAAAGGGTCTCTGTTTTAGTTCCTATCAGGTGGAATATGAATTATTAGGTGAAATGTGTATTATCAGTCATGCCCCTGATATGTACATAGAGGCCTAGTTTACATGAGGGCTAATATCTGAGACTATAGAGGCTCCAGATTCTGTGGGATTGTAATTTGGAGGTGTATGAGGATTCTTTGTCTGGTGTGTTTTATGATAAGAGGGTAATTCATTTACGCTGTATGCTCTCTGAATTTCGATGAGCCAGTGTCCTTGCCGCTGCTACAGAAAGGGCAATAATTATGTGCCCTCTTTACACCTTTCTCCAGTTAATTTAAATTTGCACTTTAAACACATTTAAGCCGAAAACTGAATTATCTCAGATAAATTCATTCTAAACTGAATATACTGATGTTAACCCTGTTATACCAAACGTCTCATCAAGCCCAATTCAAACAAGAGTGCACTGAAAATTAAGGATGAAAATGCCTCATCTTACATTTTGGTGAATTATAATCTGAATTTGGTTATCCTAAAAGACAGTAACTCCAAAATTCTGAACTGTGATCACTTGTTCTTGTGCTTGAAGTCCCTGCTGTCACAAATACTTTGTTATACTGAGTTCCTCTAAAACAGGGGTGCCTAAACTTTTTGTCATGTGGGTCCAAAGTGCAATGTTGTAGGCTGAGGGTCAAAAACCAAACAAAGACAACAGGTTTCATATCTAGCTTTTAAAATGTATCTTATAACATAGTATTTTGGTGCTAAATTACTATTAAACACAAAATCAAAATTAAAAAGGTTGCATAAGTTTTAAGTACCTGAGAAATTTAGATCTCAAAATTCATCAACTTGTTCATTCAGAATGTAAGTCGAATGTAAATGCAGTTCATTAGGTGCACTCTTAAAGAAGATGGTTCTTCAAGACTTCTTTAAAAAGACATTGGTTCTATATAGAACCATAAACACTCAAAGAACCATTTGCTTGCTTATGGGGTTCTTTGCGTGGTGAAATGGTTCTTCAGTTTGATGGAGAATGTGTTTTTCTTTAGTTTAATGGAGAATGTGTTGTTCTTCAGATTGATGGAGAATTTATTGTTCTTCAGTTTAATGGAGAATGTGTTCTTCAGATTAATTGAGGACGTGCTGTTTTTCGGATTGATGACGAATGTGTTCTTCGGTTTGATGGATATTGTATTGTCTATATGGAACCTTTTTGAAAAAGTTTCTCTGTAGCACCAAAAAGTGATTCTGCTATTGTTACAATGTCAAACTTGTCACAATAGCAGAACCCTTTTTTTTCACCATGCAGTGAACCACTTAAGCATGCAAACTGAGTTCATGGACTGTTCATAGTTCTATATAGAATCATTATTTTTACTAAAGAACCCTCAAAGAACCATCTTTTTTATGAGTGTAGCTTCAGTCGTATGTGAAAGTTTGAACACCCCTGGTCAAATTCCATGTTTTGCTGATTTTCTAAAAGTGAAATAAGTTAGCATGTCCTCTACTGAGAACACACTTAAATATGGCATTTTTTTGCACATTGTAATGTGCAGTGTTTATTTATTTGCTAAATATATCATATTGGAAAAGATAAAATGTAAAATGTGCTGTAATATCATATCTCAGGCTTCGCCTCCTTCCACTCTCCAGCGTTCTGCCTCAGTGGCCTACTGATCACTGGCTCAGCTCTCCCTCTCTCTCCTGTTCTGATCTGTGTTTCTTTTGTGATTGCTTCTCTCTGGTTTTGGCCTGTTTCCCTGCTTTCAGACTTTGAGCCTGCCTAACCTACAGCAGCCTGTTAGCCAGTTTTGTTGTGGACTTTTGGACTGTTTGTTTGTTGTTTCAGTCTTGTAGGTTTATTTGACTGTAACTTGCATCTAGTCTCCTCCCCTGTTGTGACATAACGTTTGCACAGGCCACATTTTATGTTTTTTTATATGTTAAATTCAGCAAATAATAAACAGCAATTGTGCATTAAAATGTGCAGACATGTGTTGTAGGAAGTGACCTTATGTTCACATAAAAAATGACAAACGTCAGTGGCACCCAAACTTTTGCATACAACAATTCATTTTGCAATTATGTAATTACATTTAAACAACTATGCGATGTGAATAGGTGTTTGTTAATTCAGTGTATAGCAGAATGATAACTAATACTCTAAAATACTCTATACTCTATTAAGCATTAATGACTTGTGCAACTTGTGTTTTGTTCAAGTTTTTCTTTCAAGAATGTCTTACAAACCTGATGCAGCTTGTTTTGATTAGACAGTTTTGTTCAGTTTTCTCTTAAAATGACAACAAAGGGATACATCATGCGTCCACAGTCTTATCTACAAAGGGCTGGTGTGGTTTAATCTTCTGGTCTCCTTCTTCAAACACTTGATTAGCTATATGAGGTGTGCTCCTGCTTGGCTAACATGAAAACCTGCAGCCCTTTGCAGATAAGACTGGTGTCCCCTGTTGTAAACGCCAACCAGGCTGCACATTCACAGAAAGAAAAGCTTACTATTTCTTTAATTTGTATATACTGTAAACAGTCTGAAGCTCCTAGCAAATGAGATACACTGCTGTTTACTTATTTAATTTGCTAGCGACTTAAGTTACTGTACCCTATCAGTACCAGTGAATTGTCCAACACTGTTTGAAAAGAAAAAGAATGCAACACTTTTCACAAATGTATAAAGCATTGCCACCAGTGTTGGAGTAATCAACATGGAGCAGATGTAGCCTGCGTTCCTTTGGGACTGTTTTCAATCAATTTTGCAGAAACGGACTGGAGCGTCACTTTAAAAGGATTGCAGCGTCCTCTGAGAATCCTCACTGATGCTGCTATTGAACTCCACTGCTTTCTGATGCATCTCATCATCCTCAGATATGAGTGCATTAAAAGTGTATAAGAACTGAATTCATTACTGAGTGCTTCTATTGGCTTCTGACTTCAGAACATAGGACTATTTCTGCCTTTTAATCTACTCTTCTCCTTTAATAACGTGACCACTGAAGAACAGGGTAAAAGGGGGGCTAACAAAGTATGCAGAGAAACAGACGGACTACAGTCTGTAACTGTAGAACTACAAAGTGCTCCTATATGGTAAGTGGAGCTGATAGAATGGACATTGAGTGTAGAGACAAAGATACTTAATGAAATGGCCATCGCTAAAACTGATAATTATCCCCCTGACAAGCCCTTGCAGGAATAGCCATATGGTGTAGTGACTTGGTATTGGAAGGCTTTGTAGGATGTGGTGTCCATATCTTGGGGAAGGCTTTGGTAGGATAGTTGGCATTAAAAACGTTGTTTGCCATATGCTGCCTTGTGTCGCCTTCGTTCTGAGCGAGTGTGAAGCCGTGAAGGTCGCGAAGATCTGCCCGGAGTGTGTGGAGCTGTTCATGCATACACAACACGCTCCGGCAGCTTTATTCCACCGAGCGATCCAACTGGAGAAGATGTTTTGAATCAGAGAGATCAGAAAAGTCCTGCTTTTGCCTTGTGGGTATCTGCTAGCTCGAAAGGCTGTGAAAATTGTCTCTTTTTGTCTTTCTCCTTCCCTGAACGTGAATGCCTTAATAATGAAGTGAAGCTGACAGAGAAGCACCTGTGGCTACAGCAAGAATAGAAGATTTACAGCTTTTGTCTTTTTTCTGCCTGCTGTTGAAAGCCTCGGACGAAATAACAAGCACCAGCTAGCTGCGGTTCAGACGACACAGGAGGCAGCACAGGAGGATATCAAATGCGAGCCTTTTCACTTTTTCAGCTGAGTTAAGGCCTCATGAAGGGATCGTTAAAGACCGAGGAGATCCGGGTCCACTTCTGCAAGAGAAATATGCAAATTATAATGATTTGTTGACCATAAATCTTTCACTGTACACAATACCAATGAAAAGTTTGGATACTTACAGGATTTTTTACAATTTTACACATTTTAGAACGAAATTATGAAATTACACATAGGATTAAGCATGACTAAACAACGTCCTGATCCTGTACTTTAATATTGAGCCTTATCCGATATTGATCTGATCGTTCTATTTTTATAGACAATACAGCCACACAATTTAAGTCAACTGCTTTTTAAAATGACCATTTTATGTTGTTTTTTTAATATTGATTATGACCAAATTGATTGTCCTCAATTGGCTACCAGTTACTTTAATATTCTGCAGTTAACTCAGTTCATTTTTGACATAGTCATAATGGGATACTCTCTGAATTCATATGTTATTTTTGTATATTACTTATGTGGTATAACCATTTTATAATGTTGTGAATACGCTGATTTCATATGCTTCATATTGCACAGTAGCTGCTCCTTTCTCTTGGTTTGGAATGCACTGTTAAATGCCAACATAAAACCAGAAGCATCACAGCCTGAAAACTGAAACATCTCTGCAGTACTTTTGTTTTTTAACTGGTTGCGACTTGCGAGTGAAAAACGTGGCAGGAGTGTATATTGTATGTGCTTCTGGAGACATGACACTCATGGTAAGCAGAAAAAAAAGACACCTTCCAAAATAGTCACCTTCACCTTCTCAAGAAAGAGCTGCATTTTATGAGAAGTGTCTGGCTCAAACGCAGCAAAAATGTTTCTGATAGTGCCATAAATAAGTGGGAAAAAAAGAAACAAAGGATCTGGATCTGGATCTGGCGTATTATAGCCAAAACCCAATCTATTAAAATATGCCTGGACTGGATTCAATCTGATTTTGTTTTGACAAACATCAACATTAACTATTTATACTTAAAGCACTTCAGCATGAGCCTTTAGAACATACAACTATTTAGTCAGGTGGGTCCAGGTTTTTAGGCCCAGTCCAATACTGTACATTTGTATACATCTAGACAGAGTCTTAGACAGTAGCCTTCTGAATTTTAAGCACTGTGTACTTCTGCTTGTGAGAAACCCACTAGCAGAGCTGTTGGTTTTATGATTGTCTGGCTTGCTTTCTTAGCTTGTTTACAGGCATTATGAGTAAATATCAACATAAACATTTCCTATAACTTTGCATATTTAAGTTTACACACAGCGCTGATAACTTCACCATGTCTTGATGCACCTGTCCATACTATTCTTCATAATAGAGCTATTCATGCTACTCACAGTACATCTACAAGAAATACAGTTCCTAGAATCTGCTTTGATAAATGAAGCTTTTGAATCTGTTTAGATTTCTCAGTTTGTCTTTGTAAATGTTTAATTCATGTTTCTAACCCATTTTCCTTTGCTTGGTTTTTCCCATCAGGCCACAGTGGCGGCTTTCGCAGCAAGTGAAGGTCACTCTCATCCGCGAGTGGTGGAGCTGCCAAAGACCGATGAGGGGCTGGGTTTTAACGTGATGGGTGGAAAAGAGCAAAACTCACCAATCTACATCTCCCGCATCATCCCCGGGGGCGTGGCTGAGCGACATGGCGGACTGAAGAGGGGAGACCAGCTTCTGTCTGTCAATGGAGTGGTGAGCACCAATACAGCTTCAGTTACATTCAACAGTATGATTATTCAACATTATTATAACATAATTCAGTTATTAATCAGAACATTTATCATTTGACGTCTACTACAAATAATTCTGTAACTACATATGAACAATTCAGTACCTACCATGAATAATTCAGTGAATGATGTGATTTATTCACACACACACACACACACACACACACACACACACACACATACTATCTAAGCCGCTTATCCTTCTGGGTTGTGGGGGTTGCAAAGCATTTCCCAGCAGTCATTGGGCGGAAGGCAGGAAACAGCCTGTCTATCACAGAGTGATTTATTCAGCAATTACTAGCTATTGATTTATTCAGTATCTACTATAATCAGTAACTGCTATAAATAATTCCACAGCTACTATGATTTATATAGTACCTACTAGAAATTATTCAGTACATGCTATGAATTATTTAGTAACTACACTAAATTAGTCAGTAACTACTATGAATTATTCACTTTGTGTTATGAATTTTCCCATAGCTACTATAAATTATTCCATAGCTGATTTGAAAGACTCGGTATCTACTATGAATTATCCAGTAAGTACTCTACTGAATTCTTTAGTATGTACTATAAATTGTTCAGTAATTGCTATGAATTATGGTGGCACTTTATTTTAAGTGGTCCTTTTAGATTAAACAAACACTCAATGGACACTCAGTAACATGTCAAAAACATATGAGGGTCAGGAATAGGTTCTGGGTTGAGGTTAAGATTAGGGTTAGGATTAGGGCCAGGGGTTAGGTTGGGTAGGCTAGGTTTTGCATAATGGAAGTAACATATTAAGAGTGCACTACTGATATTTCACTAATATGTTGTTGATGTGTTACTAATAATCTGTTAAGAGTTTATTAATCATCTACAAACGACCACTCCAAATAAAGTGTTGCCTGAATTATTACGTACTGTGAATTGTTCAGTTACCACTATGCATTTTTCAGCATCTACTATGACTTATTCTAGGTAAGGAATGTCTAAGTTCTGTAGTTATTGAATTAATTTTTCATGTTTTTCATGAATTACATTTACATTAGATTTAAGTTCTGTATGAACAGGTTCGAGTCTGCACTGCTAGCTTTTTTGAGGGAAAAAAATGACATTATAGTTTAACAAGTGCTATATTGTGTATCCCTAATTAATAGGTTTTACTTCATTAATGAATTTTTAATGAATTTTTCTTCATTTGAATTTTGCTTCCTTTAGCTTGACTACTTGAAGAATGTTTAATGAAATGATCTATTGGTGGATGAGGGCAGCAGCCAGGAGTTAGTCTTGGGTTTAGCTCAGAGACAAATTGCGGTTGTGTTGAAGCATTTAATTTGATGTTTACCTCAAAGTGTCACAGTGTAGCACGCTTGCTCTGCGTGATCAAGGCCTTTCTGACAGATTAATCAATACAGATCAGTCCGGACTGGAAGGAGCAGCAGGATCATGATCTCTGAAGTGATCTCACATTGATTTGAGTGTGTAAACATTCCTGACAAACTTTACTGCACTGACCATCCCACACTGTTACAGATACAACAGGAAACAAATCATTTCAGCAGTCCTGTCAATAAGTATTAATAAAAAATGTAGCTATAAGCAGGACTACAGTCTAGCAGCAGGGGTTCGGGGTTAATCTCTCTCAGAAATGTCTGATTTTCTCACTGTTAACATTTTGTTTCTCTGCACTGTTCACAGCTAGCTGGCTTTGAGCCGAGCAAACTTTTCTGTTTTGGCAGGTGTTAACGCTCGACCTGTACTCAGATGCGCACCAGACAACTCAAATGCGGTGCACTTGACTGACACTCAGATCAGTGACTTGATTGGTTCAGTCAAACTGATAAAACAGTCAGTCTTAAAGAAGCAGTAAGATACATATAAGTGTCTCAGTTTTCATGCAGCATAATTGGTAAGATAATGCGTTTATGTCAATAATATGTGTGAGGGATAGATCTGGGTTTTATACAATGATAGGCTGATAAAAGAAGTTGATTTTTGGCACCAATGGAGGTAAATGTGTAAGTAACTGAGCTCCTATATCCCCACCAAATATCAGACCAATAAACGCACGCCAACATGTGCAGAATGAAACCAACCAAATCAAATGAAGAAGCAAACAAAACTCTGGTGTGGACTTTAGCAAACACACTAGGTCTGACAACAGTGGTAAAAATCCCTGTAAAGGTTTAGTTTGTCAAAAGCAGCTAATCCAGTGGTAGAGTTTTGGTCTTACTCCTGGAGGACAAGCCTCAGCAGTGGGCCCTGGAGCCGCAACAATTACATTTGATAAATTCTATAACGGAAATATTTGAAAATGTAAAATCCATTTAAATAATACACACAATTAGCACTTTTATGAACCCACACACGTCCATGGGGAAATTTGGTGATTATCAAGTTGTGTTAAGTAGTGTAATTAACAGCCTTGGTCGGTCTCGGGTTGAGGTGGAGATTGTTCTCAAGACCAGCCGAATGCAGTGCTTCTGTCTGAGGTAACTGGAAACTGAGCTTTTTTCTATCGTTATTAAATATCAGCAAAACCTTCCAACAGAATAAAACAGTTCTTTCTCCATGTTTAAATAAAATCTGTTCACTGTTGGTTAGGAATCGAATTGATCTTTCCATGATGGTTTAAATGGGTATTATTTGTTTATTGATGTTCGTTGGTTCCAAATTTCAGACATCCACTGAGGGCAGATCAAATGTTATTGTTACTGATTGTTTATTTAATAATAAGAATGAAGGTGGTTTGGTTTAAATTCACTTGACAATAGAGAGTGATTCAGAAGAAGTTGTAGAGAAGACGAACAGAGAATAACCTCACCGTTATTTGCTTCCAGACTTTACAATGCACTGGTGGATTACAACTATAATAATACAGAATTAATAATATAATAAATGATAATAAATGTACAATGAACTACAAACAAATTTCAGTTTTCTTCTGCTCTGGATTGCTAGCTAGCTAGGTAATATGATCTCAGTTGTATTTATTATGGAGGATGCATGAGACCGTGCTGGCCAGTTAGCTGTCCAGAGCTGTAGGACATGATTCAGATTGCACCAGGCAATTAAGCTGGCGTGGCCGAGTTTAGCAAGGGCACCAGTGTGAAGCAGTTTAGATGATGATGATTACAAACATGTTGACTCTGCTTTCCTGCCCTACTGTCTGCTGTTCAATCAGAGCCAGCAACTGATGTGTCCCAGGTTGCCAGATTGGGCAGGATCACTGATTTAGTTTTTTGATGCAACTTCCTATGAAAATAGCATTAATTTTTTATCAGTAAAGTGTTTTCGTTTACATTGTAGTTTATTAAAAAGCAAAATATATAAATGTTTTTTTATCCTGTAGAACATGATAATAGTAATAATAATAATTATTATTATAATAGTAGTAATAATAATATCAAATGACAGTGCCAGTAAGAATAAAAAAAGTTGTTTTTCCTTCCATGTTTTTAACTGAAACCTTTTCTTAATTATTTGGGATAATGTTCAATAGAATATTTAGAATATTATTTATACTTATATTTATTATTTATATTTAGAATATATAGAACACTTTTGGATGGGGGGTGGGTACCTTTATGATGCTTGTATAACAGCATAAAATAAAATAGTACTTTTCAATTTTTTTTTATTTCTAACAGAGAAAAAAGAGTTCTTACAGAACTGCAAAAAGCTACATTGTTAACAGGGTGGCGAAAAGTACAGGATAACGTAGTGTTTTTCTGGAGGCTAAAAGTGCAAAGTGCACTTCCCTGTCAGCTACTTGACCACTTTAAATTTTTTCAACTGAGCACTCTGCAGAAAGAATGCTGCACAGAATGCTATAAAATGTGAGGCATGGTAAAAACTGTGAACAAAACTCCTCTTTTCAGTGAAAACAAACCTTAATGTTTTTTGCTGGACAGATATCATTTGTAGTAATAGATATTTAATTAGAACTTTCATATCCCTCCTTATTGTCTACCATCCTGCAGCCTCTCATTTTGGTGTTTGCTTACTCTGAGTGTTCCTCATCCTCCTTTTCACATATTTCACTTTATTCGTGGTCATTTTCTCTGTCATGCTCTCTGCCATGTCTGTACCATGATCATTTGTAGTAAAAATATTTTGAAAAAAAAGCTACTAAGAAACTCATTTCCAGTTAACGCAGTTCCTAATTTAGTCTAACTTTTAGTGGATCGAATCCAGACTCTAAACATTATCGGCCTCTTCAGAGCTTTTGTTTTGAGTGTTTAAGCCAAATTTCTGTGCAGATCAAAACACTGTGGACACACTTAATATCGATTAAACCTGATCTACAGATAAAAGTGCACTTTCTAATCAGTTTTCCCTTTTATTTGCCCGCTCCACCTCTCTGAACTACAAACACTACTAGATTAACACACACAGGTTACTGTGTATGTTTATATTTTTATTTGTTTTAATTGTACACATGTACTTTTATTCATCTGTCTTCTGTTCAGAACTGCACTCCAGAACAAATCTGAAAAGAGAAAAAATGCTTTTTATTACTGCAGTGTTTTTTTTTAATAGCATTCATTTAAATGTGACATATGTAAAACATCTGCACACTCAAATCTTTGCAAAAACGTTTTATTATATACGTTTTCAGGCAGGGACCTTCTTAAAGGCATGAAGAGGTAACAAATGAACACAAAAGTGCTAAAAGATTAAGAACAGCACGTGATTAGCCTAAATGCAGGACGTGTGTCAGTCAGTTGAGCTTGTGTCTCGACATCAATGGAATTGTAGTCCTTAATCAGTACAAGTACAGTACAAGTTAGAGACACAGTGTCCACAGAGACAACTGAGAACATTAAGCACTTCCAATATCCAAAATACACAAAGTGAATGCACAATAATAGAGATATATGTATAACCTGTGTGAACATATGGTATCAGCCATCATAAAACATAAAGCATATAGAATCCATTATAGTTTATTCATATAAAAACACCCATCTG